CCAGCGCTGAGCGGGGGAGGCCGGCGCTCCCGCCCTCGGGTCCCCACCCTGGCGGACCCCAGGTGGAGGGGCCGCAGGAAGAGGAGGTCCCCGCCGTGAGCGTCCGTCGGGAGGAGGCCCCGCTCTGGCGGCCCCTAGCCGCCGGGTGAGGAGGGCCCGCGGCGCTGATCGTGCCCAGGTGGAGGGGCGCCGCAGCCCTGCCCGTCCTCCGGAGGCGGGGCTCCCACCCTGGTGGCCCCCAGGTGCAGGAGGCGTGGCCCTGACCGTTCCTCGCTGGAGCGGCCAGAGCGTGGGTGGGCCCCGGCGGGGAAGAGCGCCATGCAGCATCAGACTCCAGATAAGGCGGCTTTCTCCGCCCCGCGCACAGAGCAAGGGCCGTGGGGACCCTCTCCGGGGCCTGGTTCGTGTCCGTGTGCACAGCCTCAGTTTCTTCATTTGCGAATGAACGAGTAAGAGCCTTGAGCTTGTAGCGCCCTTCCAGCTGGAGTTCCTCCTGAGGGCTGTCTGGGTTTCCATAGTGACGCTGTCGTCCCTGCAGGACAGCTGGCACGCAAGGTCTCTGAGGGCTCCTGGTGGGAATGACGTCTTAGTGGCTCCCTGAGACTGAGTGGGGGTGGGTTGCTGAGAGCAGTGCCTGGGTGTGCAGTAGGCCAACAAGGCTCTTCTAACCTCCTCCGTGGAGTCCAGCACTCAGTGTACTTGAGAAGCCCATAGTGAGCGGGACTCCTTCCCGTTTCGGCTGGGGGTTGGCAACCTTGTTTCTTCCATGAGAGAAAATTCCTTGGCGTAGACTTTCTTCCGAGTTTGAGAGAGGTACTTTTTCTGAGAGCTTTGAAGCTCATCTCCTGACTTACTACACTTGGTGTGGCTGCTTTCCAGAGTCAGTGGAGAGAGTGTTGCCCCCAGTGTTCACTGTTTCCTTCTCTTTGTCTTTAGTCCATCCCAGGGAAGGACAGCAAAGATTGGTGGTGTGGGCAGACCAGACAAGCAGGGGACCTGGTGCTTCCTCTGTAGAACACAGGGTATGAGGCAGGTCGGATGGCCCCTTCTTCACCATGGGGTCTGAGTGTCTGCTTTCTGGGGATTAAGCCTCTTATCTAGTGTGGGACTGAATTTGCATTCATAGGGCGATGTGCTCAGAGTGGCTGCAGTGAGCTGTCAGTCATGGTAGGCCTTCCCTGTTGCTGAGGGAGACTGTCTCTGGTGCTGTGGCTACCAGAGCTGGAATAAGTTACATGCTGGGATGAGTAATTGGGAGCGTCAAATAATGTTCAGACTTGTGGGATGTGTGGTGCCAAGTTGTGGTTGGTCTTGACTTTCTGCTTGTCCGGTATTGCAGAGATCACATAGGCTCGTATTTATGTCATAGGCAGATCAGGTATTTTAAGGTCACCGTTGGTGCCCTATAAGTGAGGTAACACTAGGTTTGGGCTTTAAGGTGTTAGCAGCTGGGGTCTTGAGTTCCAGTGGTACTCAAGGAGTCCGTGGCTTATCCATTCAGCAAAGAGATTGACCACAGTGTTCAGGACAGTTGTGATAACAGTCAACTTGGCAGATGTGTAACATAGGAACAGATGGCTGCATTTGGCAGATCAGGTGATCCAGGCAGTGAATTACATTACCATCAGGTCTGTGGTCTAAATCACAAATCAGGTGCTGAGTTTGTTCCCTGGGCTGGCTAGGTACATCTGTTTGAGGTACTTCATCCAACTTGAGACTTGAAGAGGGAACAGAAGCGCGGGGTGGGCTGGGAAGACTACCATTGAAAGCAGAAGGATTTGAAGATGGAGAGGGAGGAGGATGCTGGGGCTACATACCCAGGTGTGGAACTGTCTCTTGAGCTTTATCTAGGTACTACACACTATTTTTTACTTTTTTGGGGAGACACACCTGTTAAGCTTCCACCTTTCCCATTGGCTGCTTCACCTAGAATGAGTGCTGCAGCCTCTCTGGATTCACTGACACTTGTAAAGTTCTTTTGGCAGTTGCTGTTTACTCCTGTACTCTTTCTGTTAGTTGAGCGGGGTCAGTATGAAGATAAACGGGGTATTGGGGGGTAAGTATGAAAATAAACGGCGTAAGTATGAAGATAAACAGGGTATTGGGCTTCTAAACAGAAAGAACCTGTGAGCAAGTGTGTTTGTCCTGAAGTAGTACAAGGCAAGACAGAAGCCTGGTTCTTTGTCCCTACTTACCAGGGACAGATGAATGAGTTTTCTGTAGTTTGTGTTGGCTTTCTCTTTTTTTGAGTGTCATCATGAACCTGTGGTTTTTCATGGCTTCCACATCTGAGTTAGTGGCCTGTGCATATGCTGCTGGGGTGGGTCCTGAGCAGGCAGGGCCTAGCTTACCAGCAGGCCTGTGTCTGTGTGTCCCAGTGAATGTCTGATTCTTGGATTCTGGAGCAAGGTTACTTGTATGTACAAGTATGTTATTACTGTGTCTTCCTGTAAATCAGACTGTGGCCATGAAATTGTGGCCTCACTGGCCTCTCACCTTTACTTATTTTATCTGATAGCAATATGGCTCCTCCTCCTTCCTTTTAGGGAGCATTTATTTGTCTGATGTTTGTTTTCATTTTTTTTACTTTAGGCTTTATTCATTGTTATGTTTGAGATTAGTCATCATCAACAGCATATAGCTGCATTCCTAAAAAGCCAATCTAAGATGTCCAAGTCTCACTGGAATATGTTAGTTTTATTTTTATAGTTACACACACACTTTTAACACTTTTGTGCTTTTATTTGCCCTACTTACTCCTTTTTTACTCTTTCTTTTGGATTTTTTTAAACATAGGTTTTTAAAAATTCAATTCACACATACAAATTCAGTTCACTAGAAATTCTCTACTTACTTGGAAAATGCGTAGCATATTTCTGTTAGTGGTTATCCTGCACATTTTAACATGCAGAGTTATGAGGATCTGGGGTCAAGCATATCATTTGCCTCTCAGATTGGTGCAAAGATGGGCCAGCCATGCTGCAATGACCTCCTCCCAGCCCAGGAGCTCTCTTCCTGGTGTGTTGTGTGCAATGTGTGGGACGTCTGCCCCTGCTGACTTCTGGCCCCCTGCTGCTGAATCCATTTCTGTTTATCTTCCATGTCACTTTTAGCTTCAATCCATTGAGTTTTTTGTGTAAATTATCTAAGACTTTAAGTGCAATGACAGCTCTCTAGCTTTGGGCAGGTTGCCATTCACAATACCTTTCCCTGTGGACTCTTGTGGGGATGGGCCAAGGCCCACAGGCCCAGGGAAATGGCTTGAACTAGTGAGCTGCTGGGTGCTCAGGAGTCAGTTCTCATTCCTCAAAAATCTTTCTCATTCCTGTGGTCAAATCCCTGTACTAACTTTACTGTGACACTATCTGGACGAGTGAGCTAGGTGCAGGGGTTTTTTTTTGGGTGGATACTGGGAATTGAACTCAGGACTTTGCATTTGCCAGGCAGGCACTGCACAGCTGAGCTATATCCCCAGCCCCCCAGGTTGTTCGTGTCCATGCAGGGGACCCTCCAGGAGCAGAGAAGGGTGTGGCCTGCTGTAGAGGTGGTGGAGAGGGACAGCAGCAGCTTGTCTTGTGTTCAAAGACTGCAGTGAGCTGTCCGAGCCATGGGCTCCAGGGCAGCAGCCCCACCTGGCTCAGCCAGGACACACAACACTCCAACACTGCCTGCTAGTTCTCCCTCATCCTCCAGGGTCTCACTGGTGCCACAGCTTCAAACCTCAGTGACAGTCGCTGCTGTCCCCTCCCCATGTCTTTCCTGCACTCAATACCCAGAGTCCAGCAGCCTTCGTCAGGGTTGTCCCAGATGCACAGACACATTTCTTCCTGTTGCTCAGGCCAGAAGCCTGGGACAACCTTTTCTCCTCCATCCAGCAGGAAGTCCAGTGGGGTTCTGCCCTCTGGGGATACCAGGACTGGAGTCCCACAGCCTCCCCTCATTCACTGTCCCTGCCCTCAACTGTGGTCAGGCACAAGGCAGGGGCAGGCGTACGGCTCAGCCTACCCCACCTGCTGGCCTCTCTCCAGTGAGGATCGTGAGTGTCTCCTGGGATCATTTTGCAGGTACAGGAACACTCCTTGTTGATGCTGTCCTGCAGATATTGTAGTTACTTCTGGCTAGGGGAACCTGGTGCTCCTTGGTGAGGTGGAGCATAGTAGTGCTCACAACCTGTGCATTCCCATGCACTGGTGCCTGGAGGAGGGGTTGTTGGGGCTACACAGGGGCTTAGAGTTAGTTGCTAGTATTGCACTCACTATGTTCATCTTTACCTTTAAGCAAAACTGTATTTAAAAAATATATTACAAGCTGGGTGTAATGGCGCACGGCTATAATCCCAGCACTCCCCTCAGGAGGCTGAGGCGGGAGGATTGTTGCAAGCCTGGGCTACAAAGTGAGCTCAAGGCCAGCCTGAACTGCATAGCAAGACCCTGTCTCAAAAAAAAAAAAAACAAGAAAAAAAGAAAAAAAATTACGTACCCATTATCTAGATTAATCGTTTCTTTTTATGTTCCCAAGGATAAAAGCATGGATGTGAACCAGGATAAAGCATATATTTTTATGTGGCCATTTAAACATTTCCTCTCTCATAAAATGGCGAAAATACATTTTGGAATTAGCACTGAATTTTGAAAATGCTTTTTTTTTTTTTTTTGTCTTTTTGAGACAGCTTTTTAAGCTCAGGCTGGCCTTGCGTTCACTTTATAGCCCAGGCTGGTCTTGAACTCACAACAATCCTCCTGCCTCAGCCTCCCAGATGCTGGGATTATAGGTGTGTGCCACTACACCCAGCTGAAAATACTTCAAAAATGCACATTTACTGATGACGTTCTCCTGTGCTGTGTCTGACGTGAGAGGATTGGGGTCATTGCCTGGGCTCACCCATATCTAGGAAGCAGTAACTTTGTTAGCAGTGGCGGCTTTTCATATGCAGAAATGTGTCCTCCTTTGGATGAATTCATTCTAAATTGAGAATTCATCCAGCACTTGCAGCAGCAGGCAGACCTGGCTTTCAGTGTGTTGCATAATCTGCCTGAGGAAGGCTGAAGTCTCTCCCTCCCCTTGTCCTCCCCTTCCCTCCCCTCCCCTACTCCTCAATGGGTTAAGTTGCAACTTTTCCTAATAAGCTTCTGATTTAGGAATAATTTTATGTTTAAGGAGAGGCTGCAGAAATGGTAGTGTCTTTTTTTTTTTTTTTTTCTTTTTGGGACAGAGTCTTGCTCTGTAATTCAGGCTGGTCTTAATTCACTTTGTAGCCCAGGCTGGCCTCAAATTTGTGGAAGTCCTCCTACCTCAGCCTCCTGAGTGCTGGGATTATAGGCATCCCCCAGTTCCAGTGCATAGCTAGTCTTGTGTGTCTCATCTAGTTCCCCTAGTGTTACTGTCCGCATCTCCGTGATAGCCATGAAGCTGACTTTGTTCTACTCTTGTTGGCTCCAGATTCTGCTTGTTCCCTGTTGCAGCACCGAACCCGACATCTACTTTGCTTTTGACCAGCATGTCTCTTCTAATCTGGGACTGTCTTTTGCAGCTCCCCTTGGCTTTCAGGATCATGGATTGGATCTGGCACACTGGTCTGAGCTCCCTGGTGCTTGCTTGGGGCATGGGCCTGGCCTGATCCCCTGGCCAGACCAGTATGGGTGACTTCCTCCTCAGTTTATTTTTCTGCCCTTTTTTTGCCAGTCACTGTTTAGCTCACGTTATAAAAGCCTTCCTTACCTATTTGTAATTTTTTGGTTAAATCCTTGTTGAAAAATAAAGTGATTTGAACTCAGGACCTCGCGCTTGCAGTGCTGCTGAGCTATACCCTCAGCCCCCAGTTTGATTTTTATTTTTTGATGTATTTTCCCCATTAAAAAATGGTGCTTAAAAAAAAAAATGGTGCTACTTTCCAGTGGAAACTGAGGAATATAGTACAAAGGACTCCTGATGCCTACAGGCCCCATTCCCAAGAATGGAGCAGAAGAAAAATAAAGAAGGAAGGAAAAGATCCTCCAGGTGGCCTTTCCCAACCCCTTGTCTGCTGCAGGCCTGTGACCACCCACATCCTCACCTGTCATAGGGTACCTGCTGGCCTGGCTGTCCAACCTGGGGTATCCTTAAGGTACAGGCCTTTTGCCAGCATCCCTGAAGGTATGGTGTGTGGGTAGACAGTTGTGTCTCAGGTAAGTGAGAATTTGACCTGTGTACATTAATCCTGAGCACTTGGTGGTTGTGTCTTTTTCTGTAGAGTAATCCATTGATGGTACATAGCCAAGGCTGATGGGCAGGATCGGGAAACGGAAGACCACAGGCCTTGAATAAGCTTGGGGACAGGTTGTCCTTGACTGTTGGGCCTTGGGTCTCTTTGGAAGGGTCCAGCGTTTCTCATGTGCCCGCAGGAGCTGGCACTTGTCATGTCAGGACTCTTCCCAGACTGGCTAGCAACCTCTGAGCTGCATCTCAGAAAGCGTGGCCCCAGGAGAGGCTGCAGGGCACCTTGGGGAGTGGCAGTCCTGGCAACGATGGGCCTCACAGGCAGGAGCTGCATAAGTGAGGGCTGCGATCCCTCCTAATCCCTGCCTGTGCTCGCCCTCCAGAGCACGTAGGGGCATGGCACTGTCCTCCGTGGGAGTGGCTTCTCCAGAAGGAGGGGACACAGACACATTCCATGCAGACAGGTATGAGGAAGCAAGCACGGTGGTCTCTCTGGTGTGATTCATCTCTGTGCTCTGGAAGCGCTGAGATGGGGAGACAGGAGAAGCCAGACCTTCCAGGGGCCACCCAGAACCCTTGGGGATAGGTGCTTTCCCCGCTGTGGACACCCCCTGTGGCATCTTTCAGCAATATACCTTGCCTGGCTCACATCCGCAGCACTGGCCTCCTTCCACGCATGCTAGCTGCCACGACCACTGCAGGTGTCAGGGGCTGCAGCCCTGCCTACCGAAGGGCTTGAATTCCTCCACCAACAGCTAGCCCCCATGCCCACAGGGGTGTTTGGGCCTGATGGACTCTGTCATTGCTCCTTGACATCCTAGGCATTCTTGCACATGACCCTCTAGACAATGTACTCTGTACAAGAAGGCGCCGTCGTTGCACCGTCGTTGGCCTGTCTTGCTGAAGCTACAGACAGCCGTGTGCTCACCCCTGGGGTGGCCTTCACTGCCTCTAGGTCCTCAGCCCCCAGGCAGGTGGGCTGTTTCTGCTGCCAATGTCTTGCTGTAGAGCCACTGGATGCCTTCCTTAGGGGCACATCCCTGAGTCTCTCTCGTTGGGCGCCCTGTGCCCTGTGAGCTATGCTCAGGGCCTCTGCCCTGTGAGCCTTGGCCAGGGACACTCCAGGAGTTGCTGCAAACCATTGCTTTGGTTTCCTCCTGTTTTTCTGGATGACTTTGTTTTTTTCAGAGGCCTTCTAGTTTCTCCCAAGACTCCTGCTCTGGGGAGTGTTCCTGAGGACCCTCACTGTCAGGCAGTCTGGTCATCAGGGTTAAGTGAGAAGCAAAGAGCAGATTGGTGGGGCTTTCTGAATAAATATGCTTATTTTCTTCCAGAATCAATTTTGAACTGTTTCAGGTGGAAATAGTTGTTCATAGGACAAGGGTTTTTGAAGTAACTTTGGCTCCAAGGTTCCAAGTTCATCTCATTTATGTGTTTAACCAAGTGATACCAAAGTTCACAGGTCTTGAATTTAGTTGTGGTCCAAGGAAAAAAAAAGATCATGGACACAGACAGGGAGTGTGTGAGTCCTAGAAACCATTCTCAAGCCTTACTTGAGAATAGGAGCCTGGTGTTATGGGCTGAAGCATGTTCCTGCCCTTCCCAGGGCTCTGGCTTGTCCTGGGGCAGGGAAGCCCCAGCAAGGGTCTGATGGAAACTCTCATTCCTTGGTCCTCATTTGTAGGTGGGGAAACTTAGGAGGCAGGGCCCAGCCTCGGCTTGATTAGGGATAGGGGTGGGCTCTGGCTAGTCCCTGCACTGCCTGGCCACTGACGCTGCCCCCTCTCTGCCCACAGGTGTACATTGGTGAGCTGCCGCAGGATTTCCTCCGCATCACGCCCACACAGCAGCAGCAGCAGGTCCAACTGGATGCCCAGGCAGCACAGCAGCTGCAGTATGGAGGCGCAGTGGGCACTGTGGGCCGCCTCAGCATCACTGTGGTGCAGGTGGGCACTGGACTGCCCTTCCTGATGTGGGGGCTAGCACCAGTAGGGAAGGAGAGAGGCAAGCTGAGCTCAGGTGGGGAGTGTGGATTGTAGCCTTTTGTAGCATTTCCCGTGTGAACAAATGGAACTTCTCTGATGCTTATGTTTCCAAATTCATATATCTGCTGTTCAAAACTAACATATATGAAAAATATAGTTTCCCAGAGTTCTGCCTGAAGTAATTTAAAAATTATAACGAACATTAGTGGACATCTGCTCTGTACTAGGCACTGTTTCTCCCCAAGGGAAATGTCACGGCAGCTAGGATGCTGATGCTGCCCAGGGCCACATCAGTGACATCTGCTTAGTTGCACAGTTCTGTCCTAACCAGGTGTGCCTACGAGTTACCAAGGGTCTTGCCTGTGAAAACCAAAACATGTCATATTCAAGCTGACTGTGACCACCCAGAATGTCCTGCAAAGCCATAGACGCAGGACAAGTGTGAGGAGTTGCATGACTTTGTGCAACAACCCAGATGCAGGTGGCAGAGATGTCGCCATGGCTCTGTGAGGAACATGCGGCCCTCACCCTGCTAAGCTGCACTGGTCCCTGTGAGGAGTTCATAGCCAGCCACCTTTCTTCATGACTCTGCTCCAGTACTTGGCCACATGTGTCTAAGAGAATGTACTGTACCTGCTGGCCCACTTACTGCTGGGTGCCACTGTGTGCTGTCACCTGGTGGGGCATGGTACAAGTACAGAAGCTGGGCAGGCCTTGAGGTGCCCCCAGAGTGCCTGCTGCCTCTGGCAGCCTTGTTCTTGTGAGCTCTGGAGCCCACCTCAGCCTGCCTGTCTGCCTGCTCTCGAGCTCGCACAAGTGCTGGGGAGAGATGTTCTGGTCCTCACGTGGCCTCCTGGTCGCTTTGCCTACTGTCTCCCTGCTTCCCTTTGGATAAACCTTCCCTTGGCATCCAGGAGGCTGCCTGCATGGTACCCCTCACCCTCCTGTGATTATCCTCTACCCTGAAGAATACCCAGGAGCCTGATTCTAGCCCCTCTTCCAGGCCAGACGCCCAGGGGAGTAGCCTGCAGCCCCATACTCATGACTACCAGTGTATGGATCTGACAACAGCTGGACTGCTGGGCCCTCAGGACCTCCAGGTGCCCAGTGTCCAGCCCTTCTTTCTCCCAGTTTCAGTAGGTGGCAGCTCTGGCCTTTGGGAAGCTGAAGCCCAAAGATTCTTCTCCATTCCTTCCCCCTATGCCCTGTCCCTGGGCACAGACTTTGATAGAGTGTGGCTGTGTGCACTAACGGAGATGCAACTGGCGTGGCGTGGCAGGTGGTATGCATGGCGTAAGGAGAGGAGGACCAAGGCTCTACTAGTGGCTCATGGAGGAAGGAGACCAAGGGAGTGAGTCACAATCCAGCATTAGACATTCAGGAAAGGACACTTTAGCAAGGCCAGTGGAGGTTGTGCTCTTGTGGAATTGAGGGAGAGACCCGACTCAGAGCAGGGTGTGGGCCAAGAGTTGCACTGCTGCCCATACACATAAGGGCCCCAGTGGTTCCACCGTGCCATACCTGGTTTGGCTAGGTGTTGTGTTGTGGCCATTCTGATAGATTTGTAGGAGTCTCGCTGGGACTTGTGATTTGCATCTCTTTGGTAGCCAGTAATAGTAGGCATCTTATTTCAGATCAACTCTGAGTCGTGTGCTGAGCAGATTTTGTTTTGTTTTGTTTTTGTTTTTGTTTTTTTTGAAACAAGGTCTCACTATGCAGTCCAGGCTGGCCTTGGACTGGAGGTGATCCTCCTGCCTCAGCCTCTGGAGTGCTGGGATTACAGGCGTATGCCACCACACAGTAATTTTGTTTTCTGCATCTTCACTCATTTGTAAAGGTTCTGGGTTTTGCCCCCTGTAACACAGTTCACAAGCAGGCCATCTGCTTTGGAGTCCTGGTCTTGACGACTGTGACTTGGAGACCTGAGGCACAGGAAGACAGTGTCCTGTCCCTGTGAACTGAAGGGCAGAGCAGGAGTTGCAGGAGGCTGAAATCTGGGACAGACACCTCCAGGCCCTTAGGGCTCTGGGGAAGCTCAGCCCTGGGTCATCCTCCTTTCTGTCCTCCTCTCAGCCTTGTACCATCAGGCGTGGCTTCAGATGTTTCTGCCAGGGTTGGAGTGACCTTTGCTCCTGGTTTCCTGGGAAGCAAATTAGCTGCATATTCAGTTGAATTTTGGTGGCTGAAGTTCTTGGCCCAAGAAATGTGGCAGTGGACAATCTGAGGAGGCCTGCAGCCTAGCGAAGCACCCGCCTTTTCCTCTGGTGGTGGGCACTGCATCTTTCTGAACTTGGCTTTATTTCAGGCAAAGCTGGCAAAAAATTACGGCATGACACGCATGGACCCTTACTGCCGCCTGCGCCTGGGCTATGCCGTGTATGAGACACCCACGGCCCACAATGGTGCCAAGAACCCTCGCTGGAACAAGGTCATCCAGTGCACAGTGCCCCCAGGTGTGGACTCATTCTACCTGGAGATCTTCGATGAGGTGAGAGGTGCTTGTGTCTTGAGGGGCAAGGTGTGGTGTGCTCCATCATCTGAGGCCTGCCACATAGCCAGCATCTTAGTGGCTGGGGGACAGAGTGCAGCTTCCCCTCAGAAACATCCCCAGTGATACCATGCTGGGCCCTCTAGACGCAGTAGATAGTATTTGTTCATAAACAGGCTGAATGTCAAGCGTGTCATGGGAATACTGTTCTTGTTAGCACACACTGCAGGCCTCCAGGAGCAAGCCCTGTCAGGAGCCTGTGTGTAGCAGGTTTGAATGCCAGGCAGGAGCCCAGGGGCTGAGGAGGCACCCTCAAAACTCAACTCTGGTCCCTCAAGGACCTCTCATGGGAGGGCTAGACACAACAGGGCTAAGAGCGGGAAGGGTAGGGGCCTCCTCACCACTGCCCTCTGCTTATCCTGTCCCTTCCTCCCCCTGTCTGGAGGGGAGGAGCTTGTGGGAAGGAGGTTGGGGCTGTGAGTGGTAGTCCAGTGTGTACCTCCTTCCTTTTTGTGCCCTCCTACCATGCTTGGGTCTTGGGGTGGAGCAGCAGTCCTGGAGGTTCTCCCTCCTGTCCTAAGCCTGGCCTGCACTAGGTGGTGACTTGGCAGCAAGGGCAGAGCCTTGATTGAGCAGGAACTCCTGGAAGGGTCTAGGGACCTTGCAGGGGAAGTGCCTGCCTCTGCCGTGACGTGCTCGCCTCTCTCTTGCCCCCTCAGCGCGCCTTCTCCATGGACGACCGCATTGCCTGGACTCACATCACGATCCCTGAGTCCCTGAAGCAGGGCCAGGTGGAGGATGAGTGGTACAGCCTGAGTGGGAGGCAAGGTGACGACAAGGAAGGCATGATCAACCTGGTCATGTCCTATACGGTGAGTCCCAGGCTAGAACGGCCCTGGGGTGGTCAGCCATGGCCTGCTGCATGGCTTTGGCCCTGGGGCCCATGGGCCCTTCCCAGGGCCATAAAGTGGTGCAGCATCATGGTGGGGACACAGGGCAGTGTGAGGACCCTACCGTAGGGGTCATGGAGCAGAGACCCAGGTGTGCTTGGCAGTCACCCACTGATCTCCATCCTTCGAGCAGGGCAGCTCCTGGGGCCTTTGGGGAGGGCACAGACAGGTAGGTTGGGGCTCTCTCTTATGGTGTTGGGCAGGTGCTCTACTGCTAAGGTACATCCTCAGCCTTTTCTATTTTTATTTTTTTTTTTTTTGTCTTTTTGCGACTGGGTCTTGCTACACAGTTCAGGTTGCCTTTAGCTCACTTTGTAGCCCAGGCTGGTCTCGAACTCATAACTATCCTCCTGCCTCAACCTCTCAAGTGCTGGGAGTACAGGTGTGCGCCACCACGCCAGGCAACCCTTTTTAAATGTTATTTGGGATCTCACTGAGTTGCCCAGGGTAGCCTTGAACTTGTGATCCCCTGCCTCACCCTCCCAGGTAGCTGGGATTATAGGTGCTCACTGCTGCACCCAGTCTGCTGGGTCTTTGTATCACCTTTTCTTTGCCCCTGTGTGAACAGCCCCACGCAGCAACATCCTCTTGCAGCCTCACTCCTTCCCTGTGTTGAAGTCCTGGACATCAGCATGAACATGCACTTGTTCATCACGTCTTAGTATGAGGCACATTCGTCTGTGACTAGAGCTTTGCAAGCTGACACCTGGGCTGTTGTGAGACCTCCCAGTGCTGACATTTTCTCTCAGGCACCAGACTGTGAAGCGTCCCCACCAGCCTGCTTCCTTGAGTCTCACTCTCCCAAACAGAGCACCCAGTCATCATTTTCTGCTCTGCCTGCCAGGGAGGTGGTGCTGGATGTCAGTGGGGCACACGTGAGTCCTGGGCTCCATGCTCTCAGGACTGTTACAGCAAGGCTGGAGATGAGATTCTGACCCCACGGTCACCTTGGTGTGTTTCAGTCACTGCCTGCTGCCATGATGATGCCGCCCCAGCCTGTGGTCCTGATGCCAACCGTGTACCAGCAGGGCGTCGGCTATGTGCCCATCGCAGGTGTGTTGCTGTTTCTCCTTTGTCAGGAGGCCTGGGGCAGAATGCGGGGTTGAGCTAGGGTGAACCTGAAACAAAGGTCCTTTTAGAAAGCAGAGTCCAGTGTCACAACATATGTAGAAACCAGAATCTGTTCCCTAGTTGTTGGCACCTGTGGAGAGTGAAATTTGTGGATATGTGGAAATGAGATCTCTAAGTACGTGTGTGTGCAGGTCCATGCGTTTGAAGCCCACGGTCTTGGTGGAGCACACCTTGGCTTTGAACGAGTGCCTTCTGTCAGGATCGTGTTCCTGCATGAAACGGCCATTTGCAGCACAGAAGCCGTCATGTTAGAACACAGCTTTTTATGCCTTTGCATCCTCGGATTTCATGTTAACCTCTTGGTTACCTCAGCCATGGCTGGGGCAGCACCCTGAAGCCATACCACTGGCCAGGTATTGTTTCCCGGTGTTACCCAGCAGGCAGGGGAGACTTTAGCCTTAGGCACAGAGATGTCAGGGCTGGCCTGCAGCCCCGTGTTGTTCCCTGCCAAAGTCTGGGAAGCTGAGGTCCCAGCAGAGGCTGATGGTCCCACTACCCCAAGGGGACCAAGCCAGAGTCTAGGGCAGCAGGAATGGCCAAGGCAGGGGGCAGTGGGGGACACTCCTGGCCCTGTGGCCCCTGGTTGCTGTTTTTAGCAGCTGAGCAGTATGGGGTATCTGGGGTCCTGCCAGCCAGGGCAGAGAGATTTGTCAATGCCCCTAGCTATACTAGCGTCCAGTTGGTGCACAGAAAGCCGAAGGAGTTAGGACCTGGCCTCAGACCTGCCAGCCCCAAGCGGGGGCAGTGCTTGGGCACCCCAACTGTGTGTGCATTTGGGGGCTTCTGCTGAGCCATAGCTGCTTATAGGAGTGAAGGGCAGCACTTGGAGAGGAGAGGGGAGGCCTGGCACCCACAGGGGACCTTGCAGTGCTGAGCGTGGTAGGAAACCACCCAGTTAACAGATGACCTGAATCCCTAAAGCAGCACGGTGTCTAGTGCTCCCTGAGACCCTTCACAAAGGACAGCAGAGCTAGAGCAGGGGCGTGGGGACTGCAGAGGCCTGGGGGAAGCTGCCGGTGATGGTTTGACTCTGTGACAGGCTCCTGAGTCGGAGGCCATGCCCTCCTGCACCGCCAGCTCCCACAGGGACTCCAGGTGTCCCTCGACTTATGGCTACCCCAGCCCAGCCTGTGGCTCAGTCTTGCCTCTGAGTCCCTGTCTTCCTGTCATTGCACAAGGGCCACCCCACTCCAGCACAGCCTCAGGCCAGCTCTGTGTATCTGCAGAGACAGCACAACTGCATGGGGTCAGGGTTTGACATATCAGTGTGAGGGACATGGTCCTGTCCCCTTCAGTTACCAACACCTGAGTGTACTTGGCTAACGGAAAGTCAGCTTCTAAAGAGGAGAGGAAAGTTACTGGCCTGTTTATTCTCTGGATCCTGTCCTTCATTCTCTGTAAATGCCTTTAAAATTTGTCCTAAAGTGTTTATTTGAAGAAAGGCTAGGTTTCTTTCTAAACAGAGACTTTGAACTTTTCTTTTGATAGACATTTTAAAAGTTTGACAGCTCCTGCATACTGAAAAGTTAAAAGAGAGAGCAAAAGATTTTTCTGCCAGAACTTTGGGAGACTGTGGCCCCTCACCCCTTACCCCCACCCCATGTGTCCCCTGTAATCAAGGACATTCCTCTGCGCAGTGCAGGCGAATGCACCAGCATGCATGTATTGCTGGTAGTACTCACCTTGCTCTGAGGAGGGTACAGGCCGGGCCTGGTCCCACTTTCATCTGTCCAAGCTGCTGCCCTTTGTCTACCATCCTGGTGGTGACCTGCTGCTGCCTAAGGAAGCTGCTGTCCTTCGTCCCTGCTGTTGACAGCGTTTGTTTGCGCAGGGTGAGACGTGACTCTGCATAGTGGTAGCTCACCCCAAAACATTTCCTTCGTGTCCACATGAGGTGTTTCCTGTTTCTCACAGACTGAGCTGTCCACTACAGGTGTTGCTGGGTGGGCTCACAGATTGTTCGGCTCCCTGGGCCATAATGTTACTGTATTACTTAGCTTGTCTCCCAGAGGGAGTCCTTCAGGTGGGGCTTTCTGTCCATTTGGCCTGTCCCATGTCCATTGAGTACAGTATTTCCTGACTGGCACCCCAGGAAGCCTCTGTCTCCTCGTGCATTTCCTGTCTCCACCCTGGTCTTACCAGCTTCTTCCAATATCCTGGTGTTTGGTAGTTGAGACTCAGTTCTAGAAGTCTCTGAACTGTTGTTTAGTGACCTTAATAGTGTTTAGAGGCTTCGTTGAAAGTTGGGTCAGTTTTCCCTGAGTCGTGTGAGTCCTGAATATTTGCAGTGGCAGGACTGTCCTTCCAGAGCTCCAAAAGTGCAAAGCTTAAACTGCATGCCCACTCACACATTTTGTGCTTTGGTCTGTTCTGCAGTGAAGGCCTCGAGCCCATTACTCTGGGGTACAGTGCGTGGTGACCTGCCTGGGCCAGAGCTGCCACCACCAGTCCCACAGGAAGAAGGCAGCACAGAGAGGTTGACTGTCTAGCTGGTCGGCTGCCAGCCCATCCACACCTGCTCCGTGCCAGGCAGTAACTCGCACCTTGGAGGCACTGGCTGCCTTGGTGGTCCATTGGGGAACCCTGTCCTGGCAGCCCGAGGGCCGTGGCACAAGTGCCACAGTGAGTTGTTTGTATCATTGAAAGCTCTTCATGTTCACCATCAATGCCCTAGGGTATGTGCTCTCGGGTCACAGCTGCTGCCACTGCAGCAATCTGCTTTCCAACCAGAAGCCCACATGTCCACGGCTTGGATTCCGGGAGCCCGTAGAGCCAGGGGGTCTTCCTCAGTCTTTTCCCTCTTGCTTTCCCAGAGTCCTGGTTGTCACCTCACAGAGTGAGGCTAGGGTGGGGAATGGGGCCTTGGCGGTCAGAGCTTTCCTGCTGTTGCTTATGGCCCGGGGTTGTATTTGTATTTATGGTACTGGGGATTGAACTCAGGGCCTTTGCATGGAGCTGCATCCCAGGATGCATTTTTAAATTTTAAGACAGGGTGTCACTAAATTGCTAAGTTACCTGGTCTCAGCCTTGTGGTGCTGGGCTCACACTTGTAGTCCTCCTGCCCCAGCCGCCCGAGTGGAGTGATGGAATTATAGTGGCACGCCACCTCGATTGGTTTCTCCTTCCATTTTTTTCCCCAGTGTTTGGGTTACCAGATGAATGAGTTTTCATCAGAACGGAGATAAGTAGTTAACAGGCATCACATGGTTGAGGAGGGGCTTGACCTTGACTTTGGAGAAATGGCTGAGGGGTGTGTGGAAAGGTGTGTGCAGTGCAGACTGTGTTCTCCCAAGGAGATCAGCGTCGTGAACCTTGGCCTCTGCTGGGTTTCTAAGTTCTGGAGGCAGGGAGCTGTAGTGTGCTGCTTAGGCTGGTGGCCTGGACAAAGCCTTGGGCTGGAGAGGTCAGGCTATAAATGTGGGGCCCGGTCTATATGTGTGTGTCAGGAGTGGTAACCCTGTGTTACAGTGCAGAGAGGCAGGCAGCACCCACTACACACTGTCTGTTTTGGGGAAAATGACCTTGTCTAATTTTCCTAATCCTCTGGGCTGCCATTCTGCTTCCTTTTTCCATGCAGCATGGAAAGAGTTGATCAGAAGGTTAACGCCTGCTGCCTCCCCAGCGGGGCCTCTGATAACATCCCAGGTGAACTCCGAGCTTGGATCCTCCCACGTGCTGGGAGCTACAGCTCCTCCTGCTGTGGCCACAATGAGTGTTTGTGTCCGTGCCCTCTGCACCTGCATTTCTCTGCAAGCCTGGAGTGCTCAGCTCTGGGCGAGTGCACATCGGCACCGTGCATTGTGAATCCGCAGTCAGCACTCTGCAGTGCGTGTGGTGAGGTCATGTTTTCCTTGTGGTGCACCCATGAAGCTGTCTTGCATCTGGCTCTGTGGGCTTCCTTCTGGCTGCAAGAGGCTCCTCAGAGCCCTTGGCTGTCAGGGCCCTGCACTGTGTATGGCTGGGCAGTAGCCACCAGGTTGCAGGAGCCCCGTGTGATACCCATTGCTGTCCCCCAGCTTGTGCTGGTGTGGCCTAAGGGGTTAAGCTGGACTCCTCCCGCCTTGGTCTTCCGGGCAGTGTTCTGTCTGTGTGGACAGTGCGAGTGCACTGTGTCCGCGCAGTGGGCAGGGATGGCAGGGTGACATCGCGGGGAGCGTGGGTTCTGGCTCACTGTCTCTTGTGGTTTCTTCTCTGCTTCTTTGGCCCAAGCCCCAGGGACCTCACTGGAGTCCAGCCGAGGCTGCAAGGCTGTCATCCATCCTTGCCTGCCATGTCCCCAGCTGACCACTGATACATCTGCTCCCACAGTCACCCAGGGTTGGGTGAATGATTCCATGTTCAGTCGTGGTGACGGTCAGGTTTGGGTCAGGAGTGTGCATCCCCTGTCTGCACAGTGGTCCGATCCCTGGGGTCTGTGAGAACAGGTAACAACAGAAGATGCCTCAGCCTCCCTCCTTCCCTCACACACTATCTTAGTCACTTTTCCTGTTACTGAGGCAAAATACCTCACATCCAAAGTTAAAGCAGAAAAGGTTTATTTCAGCTCACCGTTTGTAGAGGTTTCAGTCCATAGCTGGCAGAGGGGCACGGCAGGAATGGCATCACAGAGGAGAAACAAGCAGAGGACAGCAGAATAGCAAGCCAGCCTCATCCAGGTTACCTGCCCTTTGGGCAATGCCACCCACACCCAGGGTGGATCACCCTTAATCCCAGCATCACACCCTACATCCAGCCAGCTCTGAAAAACCCCGCCTATAAGTGCTTGAGGCTTTGCGGGGACATCTAGACACAAGCCATCCCACCCACCTAGGCTGGTGAAGACTGGGGAGAGCGTAGGCTGGATGCATGGGCACAAGTTTCCTGACACCTTCGTGTGGACAGTGTCATGTCTGTGTGAGGCTGCCTAGGTCCCTGTGGGACACGCTGCTGCCTCACACCTGGGCCGGGCAGCACCTGGGCTTTGTCCTCTGAAGATGGCATGTTGTCCCCACCTGACCTGATGTAGTTTCCTTTCTCCTTGTTACAGAAAGACCAGGCAGCAAGGGATGACGGTGCCACAGCCTTCACCTGTGAGGTGTGGTGATGCCCTGTCTTGGGTTGGGCAGACAGGTATTGGGCATAGGAGAGTGTTTGGCGGAGGTTGGGCCTAGAGGGCTGGAAATGCTGGCTTTCTGCCCCTTCCTGTGGGCACAGTCATCTCCACTGACTCCTGTTACTGCTCTTTTTTCTTTCTTTCTTCCTTTCTTGCTTTCTTCCTTTCCTTTCTTGCTTTCTTCCTTTCTTCCTTCCTTTCTTTCTTTCCTTCTTTCTTTCTTTCGAGACAGGGTCTTGCAATACAGTTCAGGCTGACCTTAAACTCACTTTGTAGCCCAGACTGGCTACAAACTTGCATCGATCCTCCTGCCTCAGCCTCCCAAGTGCTAGGGTTACAGGTGTTCCACCATGTCTGGCTTCTGTTAGAGCTCTTGATGCTTTGGTTCAGCTGGTATAGGAGGCAGGGTTCAACTTTGTGTGCTGTCTTCTGAATGTAATGAGAAAAGAAAAGCCATGTCCCTAAGTGATGACTCTGCCTCACACTCTGGTGGGCCTAGTGGGGAATATTATTTACACTTTTAAAGTTTAAAGAAGTAATGGCATTGTAAGCTGTTGTAGCTTTTCAGAGAGGAATGTGCATGAGGACTCTGTGACATGTGGTCGCTCAGTGTCACCGCACTTCTTGTCCTGGCCTGCCTGTGTCTTCTACCCTGAGGGGTATGTGGATTTGGTAGGCTCAGCCTGCTAAGCTCCTCTGCGAACTCCACCTTCACTCTTTCATTGCCTCTTCCTATGACTGTGAAGTAGCATAAATGAGCTTTGGAAGATCTGGCTTGCATCTGAGACAGAGAAAGGAATTTGGAGAGGGCATTGCACGCGGAGAAGCCCAACCTTGCCTGCTGCCCGCGGTGGTTGTTAGAGGCTGCCAGCTTCATGTTCCTGCAGGGTCCCTGTCTCATGAGGCCTGGGATGGCCTCTCCCTTCAAGGAGGCTGGGAAAGTGTGGTTCCTTCTGCAGCACAAGCCAGCCTGCACTTTTTGTCACTGATGTTTTCATCAGACTTCCTCTTTCGTTTCCAGGAATGCCTGCCGTCTGCAGCCCTGGCATGGTGCCTGTGGCAATGCCCCCACCAGCCGTGACTGCGCAGCCCCGCTGTACAGAAGAGGACCTCAAGGCCATCCAGGACATGTTCCCCAACATGGACAAGGAGGTGATCCGCTCCGTGCTGGAAGCCCAGAGAGGGAATAAGGATGCTGCCATCAATTCTCTGCTGCAGATGGGCGAGGAGTCCTAGACCCACCTGTTGCTCTTGAACTCATCACCCTGGGTTCCCTGGGGTCATCTTCCCACCACCTGTACCCTCTTCCACAGACACCTGCGTCCCCTCCCCACTTGTTCTCAGGATGCATGTGGGTCTTGGTTCCCAGCAGCCCTCTTGACTAGCGGTGGGGTGGGACAGCTCCCTTCTCATCTTCGGTTGGGCAGTGGTGGTGCGGCTGTGTCACTGCATGGACCCACGCACCTGTTGCTGAGGATGCACATCTCTTTTCTCATACTGTTCTGGAAAGCATTCTTATAGAAGGCCGCCCCCTCCTCCAGTGTGTTAAAAGCTGTCGAGCGTCTTTCTGAGATATCGAGTGACGCAGAGTCACTTGGCCTATTTTGGGTGGACCTAGTGGCTTACGGCACACAGACTCACATGCACTGGTTTATGGGCCGTGTTTAGAGATCTTAAGCTGAGCATTCGCATCCCTCCCTGATGCTATTGAGAACGTGGGCCTCTTGCCTGGCCAAAGCTGGCCTGCCTCTGCCTTGCCCGGGTCATGCAGGCTGCACTGTCCCCTGCAGACCGTGCTGGTTCCATAGGTCCTGTCCCAGCTTCTCTTCTCAAGAGGGCCTGGGGTGGCGCTGTGTTTCCATCCATGTTGGGGCTCTCTGTGCTGTGCACCAGTGCTGTTGTGCACTTGAGGGAAGGAGGAGTAACCCAGTGAATGTTCACAGTGGAATCCTTTCTGAGGCTGAGCTACCTGCACCTGGCTGCCTGGTCGCTGCTGTCACCTCTTGGGCTGCAGACAGATTTAGGGGCAGATGGGCAACACCGTATTATAAGACTCAGAGCCTTGTGGGGCGCTTCAGAAGCAATGCACTTTAAGTAGGACACATACCGTTGGGAAGCCCATGTACCCTGGCATGTCTTGGTGTGTGGTTCCACATGGAGTTGCAGGTGCTTCTCATTCGTGCAGGTGTTTGTCTGGACGTAAGAGCCCACTGACATGGGCATGACAACCAGACCTAACAATTTGGACTTCCTTGAATGATTCAGATTGAGGAAGTTAGTGCTTAAATTTCAGTCTTTTCCCCCTCTAAAAAGATAGGGAAAATTTTAATGTCAGCTATAAAATATTGCTTTCTACCACCAATTGGGGGTGCTTTTGTCAAATATTGTTCATAAATATTTATTTTTGTAAACTGAAGGAGAATGGGGTGGTGGCACAGGTGGGATGGTGGCACTGGGTGCTTTTCTTTAGTTGTGAATCGTTAAAGCTTTTAATCTCATGATAGAGAAGAAAGACACCAATGTTTGTTAAGTAGATTTGACCACTCACTTTAACAAGCCAGTCACTGGAAGTTTTCATTCCAAGCTGCTGTATGATCTTGTGCCTGTAGCAGGCTCCCTGTCCTAGGGAACAGGTGTGTTGGCAGAGTGGGGCTTTCCCCGGGGGTTCTGTTAGTGCCATCAGCAGACATGGCCCAGGACAGCAGAAATCTGCAGCGCCTGCTCCCAGGCCCAGAGAAGACTGCAGGTGCCTGCCCTCTGCCTTAACGTTGCTGAGGTGCCAGCGCTGCCCCCCTGCTTGTGCATGGCTCTGTGGAGCATGTCCTGGAGATGGCTACCAACCTGGAGCAGCTGCCATGGCCCAGGGAGGCAGTACTTGTGTCAGGGAGCCATAGTTTCCAGATGAGTCTGAACGTACTGCGATCTCTTTCCTTTTTCCTGAACACTTTATTTTTTTAATAGATCAAAGACAGATCCCATTTTGTAAGGCCTTAGTCAAATAAGATCCCTCACCCCTCGTTCTGTGCTGCTTCCTGTTTGAAGCTTGTCATGTGGCAGCCTGTCTAGTGCAGTGGGAGGAGGCAAGGCTTTCGTGCCTGCTCAGGAGCCTGAGCGTCAGTATGATTCACTCAGCCTACTCTCGTGTCTTGTGTCTGCTTTGGAGTGGTTTGTCCCCAGCTCGTAGACAAAGACCGTAGTGGATGGGGGCAGGCATAGATGGGAGCTGAGCCCTTGCTGGGTCTCGCTGCTGCTCCTGTCCCTCTCTCTGCAGAGTCAGGTTGCTAGCAAAGCCCCAGGGATGGCAGTGGGAACAGCCTTCCTGGGGCAGGTGTCAGGGCAGGGCCTGGGCCCTTTTTCTTCTAGGCAGATGCTGGTTGGACATGGAGCCTCCGGGGCATTGTGGTCTGATGTGACCTCCAGGTCTGTCTCACCCTGCGAGTGGTGAGAGCAGTGTTTGCAGGGTTCTGTTCTGCCTGTGCCCTCGCCAGACTGCCCCTTTCTCTTAGTGACACTTTGGCATTTGCTGATACGGGTGAGGTGGGTGTTGGTGGGAATGATTCTCAGAACTTCTGTGTTCTTGGAGGTTATGTTCAGGGGGGTCCATGTCCAGATCTTTCTTTGGTTGTAAAATACATTTCTACTTTTCAGCCTTCTAATTTAATAAGTGGCTCATATGAAAATAGAGAAATAAAGTCCTCTAAGAGAAAGTTTACCATTCTTGTACCTGATGTTTTGTGAACATGGCTCCTAGCATTCAGGAGTGACACACTGGTCAGGATCACAGGTTCACTCGTTCATGACTTGTCCCAGGACTTCGTGAAGGAAGACTTAAGTATGAGTGGGAGGAGTGGCCCACAGGAGAGGCTCGGGGCCTGAGCGTGCAGCAGGGGTGCTGTTACCCCAGAGACCTGAGGAGGGGATTCTGCACCATTTCTGTGGTGGTCGTGCGGCTCCTCCTGAGCGTCTTCTCATTACTTTGTTCTTACACTTGTAACTCCTCTAGGCCACCACGTATGACTCCCCTGCTTGGTTGTCCCATGCTCAGGGGGCCCATGGAGCCACAAGCACGCGGGTGTGCCCGGCGCCTGCTCACCGAACCTAGCAGCAGCCCACCATATGCTGCTGTACACCTGGCAGGGCAGGCAGGGCTGACAGTATATTGGTCCCGGTGTGGGGGTCTCTGTCCTTGTAACCAGAAGTCACTGTGTGCAGTGGTGGCAGCTGGCATGGCTTTGTCCACCCAGCGGGCATCTCCCCTTGATGCAGGCAGTGGGGTATCTGGGATGGGCCATTCTGGGCAGTAGGTGCCGCTGTTGTGCTAACTGGGGTCTCATCCTGAAGGTGGTGTTCCTGCTAAGCTTGTGGTCTTCCAACCATTAACTTGAGACACCATGAGTGTCTTTTACCCAAAACAGCTGACAGAGTTGAGTCGGTTTTAGTGTTGGGCATGATGTGGAGAAGCAGGCAACAAACACTCTTAAGCTCCTCTGGGACCAAACACCAAAAGTATTGGGGAGAAGACATGAATATTCTGTCTTTATGTGCCGAGCTGAGTGCGTGAGAAAGTGGAGGAGGTCCCCAACTTTGGGGATTGTGGATGTCAGCAGGCTGGGGGGAGAGTGCAGCATCTGTGGGTGGACACAAAGTGGCAAGCCCAGAGCTCCAGCAGCTAGGACAGGGCCTGGGTGCAAGACCACGACCCTGTCAAGTGAGGAAGGCAGAGGGACGGTGCCTTCATCATGGTGAAGCTAGAAAGAACCCACTCCTGGCACGGAGACAAGCGGGAGCGGGGCCTGCCTGAGCCGCTGCGGGGGCTTTGGTCCAGGAAACCACATCTGTGTTCCTCCGGTGAGCGTGTTGTTGGTGTGATACCTCAGGGTTCCAGCACTGACAGGAACCACCAGCTGCACCTGCAGGAGACTGAAGGCACCGGGAACCAGCCATCTGCAGGGTCAGCGGAAGCCAGGCCTGTGGGTCACACACAGAGACCCCTGAACAAGGTGTGCTGGGCTGTAAGTGATTTTAAAACGTAGACTAAACTACAGGACAGGCAAAGGGCAAGACACTGGTAAAATGCTCCCATGGCATTGGAACAAATAGAAGGTTTAGAAATGAGAAGCACAGGCAACTAGAATGAACATCAGGGACGATTCAGGAGGAGGTCGGAGGGCTGAGAAAGGCGGGGCTGGGAAGATCACCCCGAAAGCAGGTGCAGCACGGGCGTCCAGAACAGAAGGTCAGGACTGCGGATGGGCGGAGTTGGAGAGGAGATGGGCTGAGAGCCCTCAGGGCTGGTGGGATGTGAGGCCCAGGAAACGCCAGGCAAGTCTGTGTAATGCAAGGTGAAAGAATTTTAATACTGGGTCATGAGTAGGATGAGGACCAGGCATTACAGTGAGGGAGGCTCTTCTCCCACTTTTTTTTTTTTTTTCTGGTACCAGGAATCAACTCACGACCTCACAATTACGAGGCAGGCGCTGTACCACTGAGCTAAATCCCCAGCACCATCTCCTCCTACTTTAAAGGAAAGAGGAGGCTTAACTTTCATCCCTGAGTGCAGCTGCAGGTTAAGATTTTCAGAGCAACACTGAAATGGGGACAGCCCCACACCAGACAGTCGGTCCAGTTACAGGTAGCGGGTGCAGGGCTGCTCTGAGTCACTGGAATCTTGCTGGGCTTTGTGGAGCCAGAAGGGCAGATTAAATGAGGCCCAAGTGGGGCCTCCCTGCTCTGAACTTCCCGTCCTCCAGGTGCCCTACTCCAGGCTCTGGGCTCTTGCCCTCAGCTGTAGGCTCTGAGCTTTCAGGTTTCTGCTCTGGGTCTGGGCTCTCACCGATCTCTACACACAGCTTGGGTTTGCTCTGTTGGTTTTAGGTCCTCTGGGCCTTTCCTGCTGGCAAACCTCTTACTGCACAGGCTGGCCAGCCACTGGGTCAGCACAGAAGGCTGAGCAGCCATCCAGTCAGGCAGGAAAGGGTGCATCATGAGGTGGGTGGAGAGGCCCCAGCTGTCCTTGGGGATTCGGGAGGGACAGCCCACCTCTGTGTCGGCACCGTGGCACAGAGCCCTTGGGAGGTCCAGCTGGGGTCCCTGCACCTGTGAGGCCCTTTCCTAGGAACCTGTTGGGAGCCCCTGGAGCTGGTTATTGGTCCCATGTGTGAGGGCAGGACAGAGCCAGAGTGGCCCAAGCAGTCAAGCTACCTCAGTATTGAAAAAAGTATCCTGCCTAGACAGTTGTTAGTCGTTAGGCAACATTACCTCTTATGACAGTAACTTCACAAGGGTATAAATAAATGCTTCTACTGTTGAAGTCAGTCCTCTTGCCCATCAGGTAAGAGGTAGCTCCACCTGACCCCGGCTATTGTCTCGTCTTTATTTTCTAAATCCTCTCTCGGAAGTTTTCTCCTCGGGACCACCGAGAGACCATTTGGTGCCTGAGCAGGGACCCCAGTAAGGAGAGTGACTGGCCGGAGGACACTCCCCAGAATTGGTGTGCACAACAGGTTCGGGGGAGTGAATTGGTAGGTCAATAGTTAGCACTGGAGTGTTATATTGACAGTTATCAGGTGTGAAGAGCGGGGCATGGAGGTCTACTGACCTTAAACAATATAGTTACAAAAAATAGGCTTAAGAGAAGACAAAAGAAGAAAGGTATATTGCATTACTAGTAATTAAAATGGGACAATTACAGTCTCAAGAATCACAGAAGTATCTGTATGCAGAAGTGGTTTTGGCATGCTTCACTCCTGTATTTACCTTTCTTTTCTGGATTTTGGTTAAAAGGGGTTTTACAACCACAAAGGACTCGCCTCAGAGTTCTACTTTAAAATTAAGTCCCGAGCCCAAGCTGGACAAGGATGATGGGACAGTGGTGCCGCCGATAAAATCTGAACCCTCTCCTTGCTCCACCTAATAAGAAAGCAGAGATGGGGGACAACAGGGACCTTTCCCCAGAGAAGTGTTTGCCCGCGAATTCCATTTCACAGCACCCGATAAATTTAACTGAGCCACGGCGGCAATCCCGGCCTTTTCAGCTCAGAGAAACGTTGCTACGTCATAGGTTGGAGCTTCTGCTTCTAAGGGCGTAGAGCCGTTTTCTCTGTCTCCCTTGCAATTAGCATTAAAAGAAGCCAGATGGACAGGGGAGCCCACGGAGGGCTTTCAACATATCTACCCTGTTATTGAAGTTCAAGTCCCCCAAAATCCGGGACAAGTTATATATTGTTATGATGCCATACCTTTTAGTACCTTATAAGACTTAAAACAAGGGGTTGCTACTTATGGCGCTACTGCTCCCTTTACCGTGAGTTTATTGGAAATTTTAGCCAACAGATTATGGCTCCGAATGATTGGAAACAATAGCTAAAGCATGTTTAAGTCCAGGAGACTATCTGATGTGGAAAGGCAACTTCCTTGAGTGTTGCACTGACCAGGCAGCTCGGAATGCCATTCACAACATAGCCATTACAAAAGATATGCTAACTGGGGAAGGTGCCTTTGCTACCACAAACAATCAACTGACCTGTGACTTGCAAATATACGAGCCAATCAAAATGGCTGTGATGAGAGCTTGGAGGGAACGCCCTTGTAAGGGAGAGGCATCCCTTAATTTAGAGTCTATTCATCAGGGAGCAGAGGAACCTTTTCAAGACTTGCTGCATGATTATTACAGGCTAGTGAAAGGATTATAACACAGAGAAGCTAGCAAACTAATAGTTCAGCAGCTAGCCTTTGAAAATGTAAGTAAGGGGTATAAAGAGGACTTGAGAGCCCACAAAAGGCGGGCACATTGCCGGAGATGATCCAGATCTGTGCAGATAGTGGCCCCTCATATGTACAGGGGACTGCCTCGGCAGCTGCTATCGCTCAGGCTATTCATCCACAGTTTGGAGGAAAGGGAAAAAACAAGGCTGTTTGCGTTCATTGTGGAAACAAGGGACATTTCGCCCGAGACTGCTCTGGAACACCTGTAAGGGCAACACAGCCATCAGCTGTTCCTCTAAGAAAACCTGGTGTCTGTAGAAGGTGCAGACAGGGTATCAATGGGCAACTGAGAGTAGGTCTAAAGTCGATGTGGAAGGCCGTCCGATTCAGGGAAACTTTCAGTGGGGCCTGCCCCGGCCCCATCAAACAACGAAGGCCCGTTCCTCAATTCCTCCTCAGCCCTACCTCAGCCACCGTGCGTCTTTGACCTTTGGCAAGCGACAACAGACAGCTTAGACAGTTTAGGGGCTTAGACCTCAGTCTCTCCTCCAGATTCATATTGACTCCTGAAATAGGACCCCAAATTATTCCTAATGCAGTCTATGGACCGTTGCCTCAGGGTACAGTGGGACTCCTGCTAGGCCGCAGCAGTCTTATTTTCAAAGGTCTTCAGGTTTTGCCTGGTGTCATCGATGCTGATTATACAGGGGCAGTCAAGTTTATGATTCAGCCCACTCAAAACACTGTTCAAATTGATACAGGAAAATTAAAACTCCCAACCTGAACGATATCTGGGACAAGTTTGTGTTCTCTGAAATGGAAGAATGAATTTTAGGAACCACGGAAGTTAAGAGCAGAATATATTTACTGAGGGAAAGAAAGCTCCTGTCCCAGAGAGGGGCAGAAGGCCCACCTCCAGTGGGTTGCCCGAGACCCTGTCTTTTCTAGGGACTTTTATAGAGCAAAGCCATGAGCTGAGGTGGGTCCAAGGTAGGGGGAAAATGGGAA